CCGCTTGTCATTTCAGTCAGGTTGGACATTCAACATTTCATCTCCTAAGATAATATTAACATAACCCCCAGTGTATTTTTCTCCAGGGACATATAGAGTGACCTATTACATCCAGATCAGAATTCTCAAACTTGGGTGTCTGAAAATGGAAACCTAAATAAAAATGACAGTCAGAATTTGCACGTGAAATTTCTCTCACCTTTGAAAATGAAACAATTTTACTTAGGTACCTAATAAAAGATTTGATGCCTAATTTATAGACGTGTACCTTTGGAAATTTTGACCACAATTGGCAAATACCCTTTGGATATTTTTGGTATGAAAACTGCTATATACAAAAGAATTATTAAGAGCATCCAGCATATAAAAGGGCATTGCTGGACTTCATAATTCTACAAATAGATCAGAAACCGACATGTGTTAGCTAGATAAAAATACATTCAGCTTATTATCTAGTAAATGTTGTCTAAACAAGGCAAATGCCATAATGAATAAAACCATGACATGTTGTACAAAAAACCTCAATGTAAAGCATTTAACTTATATGAGCTATAGGAAAACCCTAGCATCAGCTTGGAACACAGTTTCTTATTTTGTGTACAAACCATAATGTATGAAGGGCTAGATTTAAGGGTGTGGTGGTATTCATAATGCCTTGAACTGTAACTTTATTTTCCTACACTTGTCATTGTCTATTGTTTTTTAAAATTATTGCATAATTAGATTACTAATTGGATAATTGTTTAGATAATATGAACAATTGCATAATACCAGACAATATTTTATCTGGTATCATATAACCATCAAATGTCAGACTCTTTAGGTTTCTGCTAAGGTTCCAGAGAAAATAAGAGGAGTAGCAGTGTTTTGTGGAACATTGCATTCATATCATTGAAGTATCAGGCAAAAAATTCTGCTCTCTTTGGAAACTAAAAAGCCTCTTTGGACCAAGGAGTTAAGACATTCAAGAGGGAGTTCAGACATTCATGAAAATTCATCAAGAGGGAGCTAGGGCATTCATACATACCTGCATTAAATAAGGGTGGTGATATGTACACCTTAGGTGCTTGCATGAACACCTTGTGCCTCCTGAGGCTAGGGAGATACAGCGACCACCTGCAGGCAGTGTCAGCAGCGGGGGGATATCACGGCGGTGAGTGGGGACCACCCACAGGTGGCTGCGGTGACATGAGTGGTGAGGGTGGGCTGAGCAGGGATCCCTCATCCCCATAGCACCACATTGGCCCTTTTTCAGTCTTCTAGAACCTCTCGCAAGTACCACGAGTCTTCAAACACCTTCACCAATCATCCCATAATGACTCCAGCCAATTCCCTCAGCACTCTTAGGTGTAGCCCATCTGGTCCTGCTGACTTGAAGACATTCAGCTGCTCTAAGTGCTCCCTCCATCAGTTCAACACTGACCATTGGTTGGCAATTGCCCCCCACATCGCCTCACCCCTGCATCTGTCCAGTATCAGTTAAAGAGTTCAGTTTTCTCTTGACTGTCTTTTATCAGCTGTCCTGTCCCAATCTGAAATTTCTACTTCTAAATCAAAAGGCAGTGACAGTTCCTAAGGTCCCTGGTGCATGTTCACTTCATGGTGAAAAGGGATCTGTTCCCCACTCCCAGTGCACTAGCAAGTACAAAATTGGGGGCCAGTCCTAGAGCCCTGCCATGCAGCCAGCATCAGGCTACACATGCTCAATTTAGGATGTGATGGAAACCAGCCACCATATTATTATACATATTTTGTGGAATCATTTTATGACTTATTTCCTATTTTATTGTACCATTATTTGCCTGAAATGTTTCTGGGTTACTATTTAAGACACAATTAACTACTTAATTGTGCCTTAAGAGTAGTGTCTGCCATGGAACCTAAAGGACAGTTCCTAAGGAAGTTAAAATATTGGTTATAGTCAAGAAAATGACTGCTGTGATAAATATTAAAGCAATGCATTGCTGGATCAGTGTCTCTAGGATGGAGCTGTGTGTAAATATAGATCTGCCTAAGCAATTATGGCACAATATGGTCCACAGTATCAGTCTGTGACCTAGAACTTGGGAACCTGGCCTGCCTAGCACAGCTCCTCCACCTCCCCAACAGAACACTAGGGAAGACACAGGTGGCCCCAACCCTCTACCTAGGCCTAGCCACACACACACTCCCTTCCACTGGTGTGGCTAGCCCAGGTCACCAGACCCTTCATCCATTTCTGATATAAACCCCTGAACTGGAAGAGGAAGTGTCTGGGCAACCAAGTTCACCCTGTATTTAGTCTGTTGCATCCTTGGCTTGTGCTTCTTCTGCTTTCTGCATATATGATCTGGCTTGCCCGTGGACCCTGAGTTTGGCTTGACCTTCTGGATACCTGACAGGATTCTGGTTTTCTGGGTATCTGACCTGGCTAGCCTCCTGATCTTGCACTCTGCCTGACCCTCTGGACCTCTGACTTGGTTTCTTACATGGATCTTCTGGCTTCCTTATATTCAGATTTGGTACACTGCCTTCAGATCTCATCTGCTTCACCTGACCCTGGGTGACCCCTGGACCTGGTCACCTATGACCTGACTTGACATACAGAAAGGCAGTAAAAATTAATTCCTACAGTTCATGCTCATCAACAATGCACTTAAGTTTATTGGTATCAAGAAGAAATGTTGCAGGAAATCCAATAATTTCCATCTAAAATTATCCTTGAGCCTGTAACACAAGAAGTCAATTAAAATCTATATTCTGATAGCAAAATTTATGAAGGAAAGTAATGACCCCTTCTCTTTCTTTTTTAAAGTCAAGATAATGGAGTTAAAAGTTACTGTCCCATATTACAGGAATTGAGAAGTTGTTAGCCATATTGGTCTGAAGTCAGGCAGGCCAGAGTGGGACCTTAGAAACTAACTTGCTTTTTGGCTAAATACAGACATTCAGGGGCATTAGGGGGAGGTTAAATAAATTCAAAATGGCTGCACAATATCAGGTAAGTCAGGATGAGGGGGCTAGCCAGGGAGCTGGGGGTCCAGCAGGCTGGAGAGGATCAGGGAGGTCCACCAGGGTGGGGGAGGAGGCATGACCTGAGGATAGGGTAAGGGGGCAGGTGGGGTGTGAAGACAGGTGTGACCCACAGGTAGGGGGAACAGGTGCTGCACATGAATGGGGTAGGGGGAGCAGGTGGGATCTGCGGGTGGGGTGGGGGGAGCAGGCATGATGTGTGGGTGGAGTAGGGGGAAGCAGACATAACCTGCAAGTGGGGTGAAGGAGCAGGCATGACCTGTGGGTAAGGTATGGGGGCAAGTGCAATCCATGGGTGGGGTAGGGCAAAGCAGGTGCAACCCACAGGTGGGGTGGGGGGGCAGGTGCAACCTTCAAGAGGTAGGGGGAACAGATATGACCCATGAGGAAGGCAGGCATGAGCTGTTGGTGGGGTGGAGAGGCAGACAGGACCCATGGGTAGTGTGGGGGGGCAGGCCCAACCCATGAGGAGTAGGGAAGCAGGTATGATCCACAGGTGGGGTAGGGTGGGGCAGGCGTGACCTAGGGGTGGAATAGTGGGGGCAGATGCAACATACAGGTGGGGTGAGGCAGACTGGATAGGGTTCCACCCATGGATCTACACCCCCATGTCCTCCAGCCCTCCCCGAACTGGGACTTAACTTGCTCAGCTGCAGCAGTGGTGAATGCTAATAAAAGTGGCTGCACCCAGAGTAGCTTGTGGGATGAGGGTTCAGAGCAGTGGCTGTGGGGGGACCAAGGGGCTGGGCAGGGCAAAAAGTAGAGCAGTGTAGGGGAAGGGGGGAGTGAAAAGATTAGCCCTGGAGCTGGGGTCACTGGCTGGGGCTGTGAAGGGAAGTGGACAGAAGTTCCATGCACAAATTAGACCTAAATTGAATGAGTCTGATATTACATAGATCCGGGTTTATCATAAACTGGGTTCTGTAATTTTCAGGCCAGTTTGTGAGCATGGAATTTCTGTTCAGTTACAGGTTTAGACTGACTGCTGGTCACTGAGACTGGGTCTGTAAGTGTAAGGTTGGCACTAGAACAAGCTAAGTTAAATTGGGCAGCTATTTTAAACCTAATTTAACCTCCCAAATGTCTGTCTTAGCCTTAGAGGCATAAGTTTTTGTAGGCAACAGCCTACTTTGTCAAAAGCTAACAACTATATCATAGGCAACAGAGATAATAACAACTGACAAAATAGATTGTCACTTACAAAAGCACAGGTCTCTCTGAACTAGCTAGCTTTTAAGGTGCCACTCTGCCTATCCCTAATTAAATGACGCCTTAAACTTGATTTGGCTGTCTCAAAAGGACAATGAGTTGAAGCTTGGGTGCTGCTGATGCTTGAGATTAATAATGCAAATGGGATGCAGCTACAGGCTGAAGTTTGAGGTTGTACAACTTTCTGGGTGCTAATCCATCACCCTGTGTGGTTCAACTACTTTTTTTTCCAAGGTGGTTAGTGTCCCCAAAGCTAAGTTCAAATGGGGCACCTATACACATGATATTAGCACCAGAATTCATTGCTCCTGGGCACCGCATTTGAATATGTACCTGGGATCACAGCACTGTGAACTGGGATGGAGCAGTCCCACCTGGCGAGGAATCTGGCGGGGGGTAGTCAATCTGCTAGCCCAGGACTGCTCCAACCCAGCTCAATGTGCTGCAGAGGGGCTGGTGGGGACACAATGGTGCTATAGTGTTGAGCTAGCCCTTGCACTGAAGCACCCTCATGCCCCAGCAGCTGGGTCAGCATCTACACATGAGTTGCTGCACAAGAAAAAATTCTGTCACAGGATAGGACTTGTATTTACAAGTACTAACCTGCTGTGGAATGTATTAGTTTCCTACAGCCCAATAGGGCTGCATATGTAGATGCCAAGACATTTACTGCAGAGCTAATTAGGCAACTCCACAGTATATGTCTTGTGTAGACATGTAGCTTGAGTGGAATAACTTGAACTAGATGTCACATCCCAAGGCTACCTTTATTGTTCCAATTCTTGATGCTAGTTGTTATTGTTATTAGAGCCAGACCAATCTTTGTTGTAAAGAAGTCTTCTTTATATTTATCATCAATTCTCATTACTAAAAACATCTGTAATTCTTAAGTATCTTCCAAATAACTTACTTAAATGAATAGCAACACATGGGCTTTCAGAAAATAATCAGTTTGAGACCTGGCCATTTATTATTTGGGGTATGTAATTCGTGACTTAAGTCTCCTAAGATTTTTCCAATTCTCTGTCCAAATGATTGAAATCTTTGAAACAGGAGAATAATGAATGATGGAGAGCAAATTATGAATAATCCACAAACAGTATTCAAAAAAGAGTCTTAAACTATTCCAGGAGAAGACTGGAACATACTTTTCCATCTTTGTGCAGTAGTATAGCTAAAGTTGTATTCCACTCTATTGGAAGAGGAAATAACTTAAAAGGCATAATATTTTTGTCTTTTGATTGTAAGTAAAAACCTTACTTTGTACACTTTGTAACACATCCTTACCAGCACTCTGTGTCCCCTTCATCTGACTGTTTGCAGCCTGTTTGGGTGTTCCCAGTTTCGCCTCTGTGTCTTGCTCATGCTGATTACATAGTGACATGCTCATGATTCCAAGGATATTGTTGGCTGCAGGTGTTAAAATCAACTGCTTAGCTTTTCTGTTTCTCAGGAGGATCCTCAGAAAATGTGGAGTTGATGGCTGCATTTTTCACTATAAATTATGAAATGATATCATTGCAAATCTTTTTGTTGTCATGATAACAGCACAAAACATTGTAAATCTTAGAACACAGGATTTCCATATAAGCAACAACCTCTGATGGGCAGTGTATTAATGTAAAGTTTCCCTGAAACTAATATTAATTATAAATCAAATATAAATAATTGTAGGGTCATTTAAAAAAATCAAATTAAGTTGTAACACCCTGAGTTTCATTGAAAATCCTATTGATAGTTTTTCTACAATAATTCTTAAATAAATTATTTCCAACATCCATCAGTCAACTGGTAAACAAATATAGTATTTAAAATATTTACTGATGGACCACTCACCATTTGCTAAGCAAAGTCACAGTATGAAAATCCATAGTTACTTTATTGTCCAATAAATCAATGTATTTTAATGGTATCACTACTTCTTTTCTTTAGTAAGGATCTGGCAGTTTGCACCTAGCATTATTTGCTCTTCACAATACAAATGGCATTAAAATACAAGTAGCTAAATATTTACTCATTACATTCTTCCATATGTTACTAGTTTAATCTATTTACTTAATCATATGATGTGAAACTGCTGCATAGGAAGATGATCAATGATTAACTAAATACTATGGGCTACATTATATCCTCAGAACAATCCCATGGATGACTCAAATCAATTAATCAAAGGAAAAAGTCTCTTGTTTCTTAGAAACAGGACCATGTAGAAAGATAATCTCTTCTAACCCAAAATAATTCCTTTTCTGACCCACAGAAGCCTCTCCTGCATCTATGTTGCTCTGCCATTTTGATGCCATTGAGTCCAGTCACAAAATAAGTTTCTTCCATGGAAAAAAATCAGACAAAAATATAAAAGACATTGTTTTCATGGTTATTGGTAATGGAAACTTTCATATTGTCCAAAAAAAATTCCACAAGATAAAATATTTTTCAGCCAAACTATGTGAAAGCTGATAATATTTCAGTTTTTGGCCAATTTTTTCACATTTTCAATTTCCCAACAAAAATTGTTTAAAAAAATTAAGGAAAACAGACACTTTTCTGCAAAACTTTTTTGGTCACTCAATAATACAATGTTTTCATTTAAAAAAATGGTGTGATGAAAAGGGACATTAAAGATTTTCTTTGTGTAATATATACTGACCTTGATTGTAGTGGAGTTCCCCTTTTTGCAGTGTGACTAACAGTTCCTTTGCTCCTTAGAGAGTCTGTGGCAAGCATTGGAAGGAACACAATAGAATTACATCTCTTGTGTGAACTACTGTGCTATGAGGGATGTGCAGACTCTCAAATTCATTACTAGGCTTCTGAAGTGTCATTGCCCATCACTACTGATGTGTTGAGAAGAGAACTCTTGTATCATCTGACTGGTCCAGAGTTAAATCCTCTTCCAGCCTGAAGGAATGATCTATAGGAAAAATCAAAGTGATGTTTGCAGCATCTCCTGGCCTGTAGGCAGGTTCTTGCTGAACGACTTGACGATTTGACCTGTGAGCATTATACCACACATATCAATTTTTTAAAAATGTCTAAAATTGCACTGTAAGTTTTTCTTTAGTATGAATGCATAGTGCTATTATGCCATAGGAAACCTTACATTTGAAAATACATATATGCAAATGAATCCAAAAACAAAGTAATTGTATCCATGCAAATATAATCACAAGCACAGTAGCTAAGAATGGCAGTGAAAGCAAGAGCTAACATAAAAGGATTCCTGAATAGGGACTGACTAAAGTAGGGGTGTCCAAATTGTGCCTTGAGTGCCAAAAGTGACATGGAAAGCCTCCACATGTGTGGCACATGGGAGATTAGGGAAGGGAAGGCAGTACAGTGGAAGATAACCGAGAAAGCAAATTAGCAAATTGGGCAAGGGGCACAGGGCTGGAAGCAGAAAGCAGAGTAATAATCCAGGCAGGGAAAGGGGATCAGAGTGGCACTTGGGAGGGTGCAGGGCTAACTTGTGGCCACAAAGATTGGCCCCCACTAAAGCATAAGTTTTAGAAGTTAAGAGTGCAAGAAGAAGAAATAGCAGCAGAATCATATCAAGGCACTTGAAGTATTTTCACTTTTTCTTGAAGTACTTTCACCTCTTATTCCTGAAGAGGTCTGTAATCATTTACCTGCAGTACAACACCCTCTGAGCCTAAGCTGTTCAAGTAAGAAAGTGGCAAAGCAAAGGTGGGGCAGTAGAAGTCAGGCTTATTGCATCATTGTCTTGGCTGCTTGGAATTTGTTAGTTTTCTGCGGTCTTGTTATCTCAGGGCAAACACTGAAAAACAACGATTAAAAAAGAGCTAAATTACTTTAGAGCTAGAGACCATAAATAGAAAAATCTCAAAACGCTACATAGAAATCTAGAGTTTTATCAGTCTAAACCTCACTCAAGGCACAATATAAACTTAACCAAAAAAAATAAAAAAGATGGCCAATACAGAATTATTTCCTATAGTCCTCTCCAGAAACTGCTACCTTGATGGGATACAGAGGCTTGCACGTACCAATGACCCTAGGAGCAACAGTGTTCAGAGTACTGTACTCCTGATAGTGTCACGTGTGGTGGTAAGGTCAAAGGTAAAGTATCATGAAAAGTAGTCCAACATAACATAAAGACCTCAACAGTGCAGCAGGTGGATGAAAAAGTCATACTTCTCAGTGCCTGCAAAGGCAGACAAAGGCTGCAGTGGAAGAGTAATCCCAGTCATCTTGGATCTCCTTGCCAATGGACACAGGTTTCCCTTCCCGAGATCCATGTGGTTGCCTATGCATAAAGGCCTTCTCACATAAAACAAGTCATGTGCAGGCTTCTCCCACTGAATCCAACATCTATCACAATAACCAATCGCCAATACCTATAATCTCCACAAAGTCCTGTGGGGATGGATGAGTGGCAACGGGAACAGACGAAGTGATTGCTGGGAGTCCCTAGTCATGGATCCACATGCAGATGGTGGATGCATATTGGTCACTTCACCCTTAGAATGGGACTAATCAGTCCTTTTTAGGAATCCCCTCTGATCACCCATCATAGGGAGTAGGGCTGTACAAAGCTTTGGGTGGTGATTCAATTCAGAGGAGATTTGGCCTGATTCGATGGCCGAATCTCTGAATCTGAATCAAATCAGGGGACCAATTTAAAGGTCTGAATCGATTCAAAGCTCTCTGAATCTTCAGCAAAGATTCAGAGAGGTTTGATGATTTGGGCAGTCCCCGGTGCCTGCAGCAGGGAGCTGCAGCCACTCTAAGCTGGTAAATAACAGGGACAGTCCCCCTGCCAGTCCCCCTGACCCCCCCCCCCCCCCCTTGCCCC